GTAGTAGTAGTAGTTATTGTTGTTGTAGTTCTAGTTGCAGTTGTAGTTGTAGTTGTAGTTGTAGTGGTAGCAGTAGTGGTAGTGGCAGTGGTGGTAGTAGTAGTAGTAGTAGCAGCAGGAGTAGTAATAGTAGTAGTAGTAGTAGCAGCAGCAGCAGCACCAGGAGGAGTAGTAGTAGTAGTAGCAGCAGCAGCAGCAGTAGCAGTAGTAGTAGTGGTACCATATAGTAAGTGTGTTATAGTACTATGTGCTAGTCATGAATACCAATAGCACTCGTAGCATTCTAATAGTAAAGAAAATTTGAAGAGTAACACAGAGCACAATCGGGTACTATTATAGTATATACATATATATATATACATATATATATACATATATATATAATACATAGTCAGACAGCAGGCAAAACAAGCAGCGACGACAACGACGATGACGATAAAGGAATAAATGTATGCAGTCATCTACACACACTCATATGCAGACACACGCATGCGGATCATACCACTCCCACACTCTCCTCGGCCCCCTCGCACCACGAGTGCATGTGGTCCACGATGCCGTAGAACTTGTTGTAGTCCTTGTCCTTTTGCACGCCGCGCTTTTTGAGTTCCTGCAACTTGGCGTAGATCTCCTCAAGTTTGCTGCCGTGCTTGGTGAGATGAGTCACCAAATCTCCTGAATATTCCACGTGCTTGAGAGCAATCGCGTACTTGCGGGCGGCCGTGCTCTCGTTCAAAATCTCTTGCATGCGATCAGAGCACAGCCTGAGGTTGAGACTCTTCAGTTTCAAAATGCAAAAAAACCGCAAGTGTGTCAAACTACTCAATCAAGGGACTCCCAGGGCCGCTTTGGATCCACTTTCTCGGCTTCGCCTTCGTCTTTCGGCTTTGTTTGCTTGACCTTTGCAACACCCTCCTTGCACAGGCTGTCCATGAGGTTCTTGGTGCCCTCCTCGCTCAGATTTTCCGGGGCCGCAAGCGCTCCAGCTCCCAAAATGCTTCCCTCGGCCGTCAGAGCATCCACGAGCCCTGCGTTGGGCGCGGTGTCCCGCACCTTGAGAGCCAAGGCCTCACTTGTGCGGTTCTCCTTCCGCACCTTGGAGCCAGCATTCACGTAGAAGTAGTACTCATCCTCGTCCCCCGGAAAGTCCTCATCCTCTTCGTACATCTTCTTGGCGAGCAGCTTTGCAATCAACTTGTTGGCTTTCCTTATAGGCTCGATGTGCTTCAGTCGACACACTTAATTTATACAGGACGGGTGCATGTCTGATGATCATGATGAACTTCAAACGAGTGGCTCCTCCGGGTACTTTTTCAAGATGTCGCGCTTCTTCATTCCCTGGCGTTCTTTTCTAGCAAGAGTACTGTTCTCGGCCCTTCTCTCCATTTCCAGGCTGACCCTTAGATGTCACGAAAAATCACGATTTCGTGCANNATATAATTTGAGACTAGGCACTTCTCCCAATCGCCCCCACACTCAAGCCATCTACGAAACATATCCAATTTGTTTCGTTCCACATGTGCAGCCAAGGATGTTCCACACTTTTTCTTGTCCAAGCATTGTCGGCTGAACTGGTTCCACTCATTTTTGTGCGTCTTACCTGCAGCATGCAATCATGTCGCACATATAGAATGTGTACGTCTAGATTTGGAACTGCATGGTTCGGCACAACACATATATGTGTATTGAGGGAGCGACTGTTGGCTTCGCACAATGCAACAACCCCCTGCTGCGTCGTCTGCTCCGCTAGGACCATGGCCTTGCCAATCTCACTCGCGACCGCAGGCTTGAGCTTCTCCACACGGGCTGATTCACTGGCTTCCTTGGGGACCCTCTCTGACTTGCGCTGCTTCTCTTCCTCGGCCTTCTTCTCCTTGTTGGATTCCTTGTCCGCCTTGTTCGTCTTCTCAACTGGAACCACAGCTTTGACAGCCGACCTCTCTGACTTGCGTGTCTCTTCCTTGGCCTTCTTCTCCTTCTTGGATTCCTTGTCCGTCTTCTCCCTGGTGGATTCCTTGCCCGTCTTCTCCTTGGTGGATTCCTTGCCCGTCTTTTCCTTCTTGTCGTGCTCGGCTGGCTTGTTGTTGGCAGCCTCCTTCACCACACTGGCCTCCTCGTCTGAGTCCAGCTCGCCGTCCAAGTCGTCGCTCGCAGCATCCTCGTTGGATGCCGAACTCTGGCCCTCTTCCTCGGCACTGTCGTCCGACTCACCACCATCGGAGCCAGATGCTGGGCCACAGCTGCTCGCTGCCGCCTCGCCGGACTCCCCTGATGCCTCCGAGGCATCGGAGGAATCGTCCTCATTATCATCGCTGTCCTGCGCGCACATGTAATAGTGCATCACCGCGATTTTTAGATATAATGATAGTGAACCCAACCTAACTGAGACCGGTCCTGCGATGCGGCGTCCCTCAATCGGCTCTCCAAGCTCTTCCCGGACTGCACAGTCAAGTATTCCTCCACAGTCATATTGGCAGCAGTCGCCGCCTTCTTGACCTCCATGAGGGCCTCAATCTGAGCACGTTGCGATGTCGTCGGCGACGACGACCCATGGCGGACTCTGTCCAGTGGGGTTGCAGGCTCGCTGGCTTCGCTCCGTGCAACCACAGCCAAAGAAGTCTTCGGCCGCTTCGGGGCCGGACCCTCGGCCTGCGGCCGCTCCACGGCAACCGGCTCTTTGTTGTCTTTCTTTTATTTCTTTTCTTTCTTTTCCTTCTTCTCCTTCTTCACATAGCCAGCAGCCGGGGCGGTCTTGCCCTTCAAACGTAGCTTCGGTGCAGCATTTGCACCGGATGGCTTTACACCCGATTTGCCCATAGCTTCGCTATACCGGGCACCGCAAAACTTAAGCAAAATGCTCTTGATGCAAACATATGTATGCTCATGGCACTGTGTGTTTACATGTAACGGCAGAGACAGCATAGAAAGAGCTGCACAGAACGGCGCATGGCATGAATTGCATGCATGGAAATCTGGCAAGGGCAATACATGTTGCATACTTGTACATATATAT